GTGAAATTGCATTGATTCAAACTCAAGTAGGGGATATTAACAAGTACTTCAAAAGCAACAATGTGAATGCGTTGAATGAGGATGAAGTAGAGATTCAACCTGCCCATGTTAATGAAGTAGATAGTACGGATGAAGAAGTGAGTCAACCTGATTATGTTAATGAAGTAGATGATAAAGAAGAAGAAGTGATGAAACCGGCCTCTAATAATGAAGAAGATGATAAGGAAGAAGATGGTTCATTTTCTCTAAATTTGGATGATCCCGGGAATTGGAGAATCATTGATCAGAAAACAAGAGATTACTTAGTTGAAAGGGGTCCAAAAAGAGTTGATAACATCTCATTTGCGAAAGATTGTACAAATAGACATTTCGATTCTTCACAATATAAGCGACTGCTACGAAATGGGCAAACAATTGATAGAAGATGGCTAGTATATTCAATATCTATGGACAGGATCTTCTGCTTTTGTTGCAAGTTATTTAAAACACCCAAAAATGTGACCAAAGTTGGCCAACTAGGTAATGATGGATTCAAAGATTGGCATAATTTGCATCGGTCTATTAAAAGTCATGAAGGAAATGAAGACCATTTATGTTGCATGACTGACTGGATTGAATTGGAAAATAGGCTTCGAACAAAAACTACAATTGATAAAAGCGTTGAATTGTTGATCAATGCAGAAAGAGAACATTGGAGGCATGTATTAACAAGGATAATTGCTATTGTTAAAAGACTCACCAAAAATACCTTGTCATTTTGAGGAGATGATGAGAGACTAAATGTTGAGAATAATGGCCTATTTTTACAAATGGTGGAAATGGTTTGTGAGTTTGATCCAGTAATGAAAGAGTACCTTCGGCAGGTTAATGCAAGAGAGATTCAATATACGTATCTTGGCAAAAAAATCAAAAATTAGTTGATATAGTTGTTGGCTAATGATGTGAGAAATGCAATTGTTAAGAAAGTTAAACATGCAAAATATTTCGCGGTTATACTTGATTGTACTCCAGATGCAAGTCGTGAGGAGCAGATGTCTTTAATAGTACGATTTGTAGATGATTCAGCAAACTTACCTATAGTTGAGGAACATTGGCTTGAATTTTTGAAGGTAGATGACACAACAGGACTTGGACTTGCAACCGAGCTTCAAAAGGCTTTAATCAAACTTGATCTGGATATTGATGATATTAGAGGGCAAGGGTATGATAATGGATCTAATATGAGCGGGAAGCACAAAGGTGTACAAAAAAGAGTACATGAAATGAATCCCCGAGCTTTCTATACTCCATGTAGTGCTCATAGTCTAAATCTAGCATTATGTGATATGGTGAATTGTTGTTCCAAAGCTGTATCCTTCTTCGTAGTGATACAACGCATCTACACTTTATTTTCCTCTTCTACCAAGCGATGAAAAATTTTCAAAGATAATGTAAAAGGGTTGACGGTAAAGCCATTGTCACAAACACGTTGGGAAAGTCATGTTGAGAGTGTGAAGCCTATAATGGAGCAAACTGCACAGATAAGAGAAGCCTTACTTAATTTGGCAAAATCTAACGAAGATCCTAAAGTGAAAAGTGAAGCCGAGTCGTTAGCAACACATGAACTTCAGAATTTTGAGTTCTTGCTTGGCATAGTAATCTGGTACAGGTTGTTGCATGCAGTCAATATTGTGAGTAAATTTCTTCAAACTGAATCCATGAATATTGATCATGCTATTAATCTATTGCAAGGACTTGTTTTATTTTTTGAAGATTATAGAGAAATCGGATTTGTCGTTGCTATGGATGAAGCAACAAAAAAGACAAATGAAATGGGAATTGAAGCTGTATTTACAGAAAAACGCATAATTCGAAGGAAAAAACATTTTGATGAAAGCAGTAGTGATGAGGTAAAGCAATCGGCAGAAGAATCTTTTAGAGTTGAGTACTTTGTTTTTATAATTGATCAAGCTCTATCTTCTCTGAGGGGTCGATTTGAACAATTCAAACAATATGACGACATATTTGGATTTTTGTTTAATTTGAAAAGGTTAAGGGATGCAACTTTATCAAATTTGTTGAACTCTTGTATGAATCTTGAGAAATATCTTGAACATGATGGGCGCTCAGACATCAGTGGAGATGATTTATGTTCGGAGTTACAAGTCTTGAAGATTTCTGTACCAAATGAAACAACAAGAGCAATTGAAGTGCTGCAATATTTGAAGACTCACAATATTTGTTACCCAAATGCTTATATTGCTTACAAAATTTTGTTAACCATACCGGTTACAGTTGCATCTGCGGAAAGAAGCTTCTCAAAATTGAAGTTGATCAAGACCTATTTTCAATCAACTATGTCACAAGAAAGATTAAACGGATTGGCTATGTTATCAATAGAAAAAGAAATGGTTGGGCAGCTAAATTATTCAGATTTGATTGATGTTTTTGCCTCTAAAACGGCAAGACGAATAGTATTCAACTAATTGTTTGAAACATTGTTGGTTTTGATGGTTTATAATATAAATCGTTTCTATAATATATTTAGTTGTTGTTTTAGTGTTAGTTTTTTAAGTTAGTAATAGATCGCATAATATACCGTTGAATTTTATATTTAAATTGCTTTTGTTGGGGGGCCTACTTTACACGCTTCGCCTCAGGGCCCATAAATCACAGGACCGGCTCTGGTAACAGTTACCTGCCAAAGTAAAACCCCTTGAGAATATATGCCATCAAAAGTCCAGCCTGCAAGCAGAAAGAAAACCACAAAGATGATGTTTCCATGTAAATAATAAAATGTTAGGCTTTACCTAGATCAGTTGGTAGTGGCGAGACTCAGATTTTCAAAAATATATAAATCTATCATGAGATACACATCGTGTGAGATTTCATGTAATTCTTAAAGAAAATAGATTCCTGGAAAAAGGCGTGGACATATATGACGGTAATTGGCAGCAACCTTTCTTGGCTTTTGTCGAGACAGCAGTGATCTGCAACTCTACATATGTACAAGAAAATTGCACCAAGATATCTTTATTACATGAGGAATTAAATCAATGGAGAATTAGGTACGAAGAAGAGACTTGTCGCAATTCTATCGAGATTAATCAATCGGTTTCTATGATAAATAATTCTCTATTCGTCTAAGTCATTTCCATGTGCAGAGGGATTTATATCAAATAAATACAAACACAAGTATTAACAGCAATCAAACTTTTTAAAACAACATAATCAAGGTATGTATCTTATAGGGTACTCTTTTATGATTAAATTAAGCTTGAGATACATTTGAAGGACAAATTATATTATGGGCCATGCTATGGGTATATTGGGGGATCCATAATGGTGTCCAAATGGATCCCCTAATGTACTACTAGATTAATCCTTATATTATTATGCATGTATGGTTTTTCAATAACGGGGAAATCCGCACTCGCTACCTTTTGAGTTCACCCCTCGGGCTGACGTAATAGTTTGCAAACAACGCCAGTCAAATAAACCGTACTGGGCAAGCCCTGTGCAACAGTCTCAACCAAAAAAGTGTTGGTATGGAGAATCAAACTCATGATCAAAGGTCTTCACGCTAATCTATTTCACCAATTCGACCATCCCATGAGGAGCTGCATGTACGTAATATTAAATTTACGGACTATGGTCCACTGTCTAAGTCAAATAAGAGTTAACAAATTATACTCAAATCTCCATATTTTATTATTATGTTTTCGACACTGCATTCCATCAAATGTACTCAGGTTGAGGTGACCGCATGATACATCTCAATGGTGCAAATGATAGAAGTGAGGTTGTCTCAATCTTGCTGACAATTGCAGTGTAAGAGTTAGATTCCTGAGATATTAAATTGCACTTTTTGTGAGCACCAATGTACAGATAAGGTCTAGTTTCCTGGCCTATTTGGATATATCCTGTGATTTTCCTCCCTCACGATGCTCCAATAACGAGACGATGGGGCTCTCAATATTGGGGTTTAACCTTTTACTCAGTTTGAGGTTGTGTATAAAAAAGTACAAGCCCTTGGCATCAATGAATCAGAATTCAGAAACAAAATAGAAGTTGACGTACGATGATGGATTCGTTAACCCATCGACTTTCTCCGAGCAAATGACCAATACGCTAAATAGAAGCATAGAACCGCCACAAAAATAGTAATCGGAACGACTTGTTCATGGCTTTCCCAAATGTTTATTGTAAAATCCGAAATCCCCATTCTTCTCCTTGATTTCACAATGTCTGTGTTTTCTATTGAGTAGCGGACATAGAATTCTGGAATCAAATACTCAGTAGCACTGTGTGAGAAACAAAAGGAAGCAGAGATCTTCCATGCTGTAGTGGCGATTAAACAGTGGCACCTGGCACATAATATCCGCCTTGAAGATACGGGTCGAATGGAGCCCAACTGTAGGACAACATCGCCCTCACAGCATCCGCTCTTACGATTAACTGGGCCTGATTCTATGGGCTTACCTCCAACCCAAATGGATCTGAAATATAATCACAGCATAGCAACCCAAAATTATATAAATGTTCATCTGCAGCAACTCAAGGATCATCTCAATTTCTCGAAATAAATTGAATTCGTGAAATAGTTTCACTCAGGTAAATTTAATTTCATTTTCTAGATTTTTTTGAATTACTTATAGTGTTAATTTTTATGTGGATTTATATATAGTTTAATGATTGTTATTGTGAATTTATTGCATATCTTGTGTTTGATAAAATTCCTCACACAGATGTGTTTTGATGCTTTTCATATTTCGCTTCATATACCTCCCAGTAGAGCGGGAAAGATGAAATTGATCGCTCAACATTTTGTTCTGATACCCTATATTATAATGGTCGACTAAAGGAATATTTTTGTTTTCATAGTGATTTCGATAATGGATACAATTCTGAAAAATTTAGAGCTTGGAATTTCTGAAGTCTGTTGCCTTTATTCATGGCCAGTTGTTAATAAATAGTTATAAGGAGGTTAAAACAGTGTTAGAAGTATGGGATAGAGCAATTGGTACGATATAATCACAGATTCACAAGATTTGACAAAGTTTTGTACTGGCTGCCATTTCTATGTAGTGATTTCCTAAAAGGAACACATTTAAGTTTGGATATTTCAAGATATAGGCGAAACCTTATATTTTTTGTTTGATTTTTGTCTCGTTTGTGTAATTGAATAGATTATTTTGGTGAAGAGAACAAACAATTACAGATGGTATCGTGCTTCCCATCAACGCCAAAAAAGCTGGCGATAACAGTTGCATACTTCATTGGTGGAGCCTCGTTGTTTGCATTTGGTTTGCATCTTTCACATGTAAATGCTGCTCCTCAACAAGCTCGGATCAAAGCTCGGAACGACTTTGTTAGAGAGAGATTGAGAAAGAAATACGGGGACACAAGTGTGCAGCCTAAATGAGCATCACGGTATACCATGCACTAACAAGTCTCAAGATTTACGGGGGTCTTAGTTTGACTCGTGTTATCATGTTTGGTTAATCTTAGAAAGATTACTTTTAAGTAACTTAAAAGTAAGTTATCCAAAGATATCTGCTAAAAAAGAGTTTTTTTTTTTTTTTTTTTTTTTTTTTTTTTTTTTAAAGCTTAATCAAACATGCTTTAACATGTAGAGATTTTGAAATTATATTAGCAGGGTGTACTTTTTTCTCCTGATATTTGCATCATGTTTAACTTGTTTATAAATAGTTTAAACTGGTAGAAATGAGTCACAAGTGGGTAGTGCTCGTAAGTCCCTTGAAATGTGCGGATAAAAAGAGGCTTGAACGTTTTATAAACATAAGCCAAACAGAGGCTAAATTTAATTTAATCTCATAGCTTACTCCGACAGTGATTTTCTCACGTGATCCCTCATTCATGTCTCTTAACTTCTGATTTCTTGCATGTTGTGGTTGATTTGTGGGGCGAATTCAACTACTAACCTGAATATGTTACAAGTAGAACCTGCGCTTGTTGCATTTTACTTCAGTTCAGTGATGTGTTTCAAAGTTGAATGCAAAGAGGCTGGGCAATTTAATGACCCTTCAAATATTCAATTCTCAGTCCATCTCCAAGACAGCTGGTCATTCACTGATTTAAATGCATTTGTCCCAATAATTCTTAGGAGTCGAAATTAATATTAACAATAGATTTTTACTATTTGGAACAGTCATGTAATTCTCATTGTACATTCGCGTATGCTAAATATCTCCTCGTGTTCTTGTTATTTAGTTGTTTTTGGCAGGATGAAATTATGAGCGTCTAGACAGTTTATAAGAGTGAGTTGGTGGTTTTTTTTACCGGCTATAGGGACTACATTGTGTTGGAGTGGGCTCGTTTTTAGGTATAACGTATCTTATTTTAGTTTGTGAGGTCGAAGAAAGAAGATTAGCTCATGGATTTCCTACTACCATACAAGATCCACGCCGTGAAAGTTGATGATGCAAATGAGTGGAATGCTATTGGTTCGCAACGAATAGTTGGAGCTCATAAATGACTCTCCTACGCTGATCAGGACAGTCCCCTACCTTGACCTTCGTCTCTGGTAGCGCTACTTATCTAGTTCAAAGTTGAAATAGAGGTCTTTCAAAACAACATGAACATTGATACGAATATTCTTTTCCATTACAGATAGTGTTACAGTTGATATTTCGGGAAGTTGGGAGCTCGATTTGGAAATAATTTGTTTCCAATGAATGTAAACTCTAGTAGGATCTTTCCTCACAACGGGACTCGTGCCATCGCAAGTTCTTTGCCATAAATGAAGAACTTGCAAACATAATGATTACACCATGACAATCTCGACTCTTTAAACCATAATTCATTTGTGCTATCTATTAAATTGTGCGATTGTTAACATGCATTTTCTACCACATTATCCACTGCAATTCGCTGAAGATGAACTTCCAACAAAATTTCTTATAATCAGCCATATTTTGACCATTTTCACCAGGGATGGGAAGTGACATTAGGATAACAGCAGCTGTATTGTAATGAGAAACGGAAGAAAAATATGTCATTGGTAGAAAATTCATTACATAACAGCTCAAAATTTCAACTAAATATGAAAAAGATCAAGCTAACTTGTGTCTTACAGGAAGTGAAAGAGGAGATTTTGAAGGAAACATTCTTTGAGTTACGAGAGAAATTTATGAAGCCCCGCTAGCACCCTTTCCTTTCTTCCTTTGAAGTTTCTTCATGTAAAACTCCAACTCTTTGCCCTCCAAAATATATCTAACAAAATATATATATAAAATATTCATCGTCAAGGAGGGATCAAGCATGATAGAATATTATTAAATAAACAATCGATGACTAAATTGATGCTAAACAGGGTATTAGGCAAATGTTTTATGCTGAGAAGGATCAGAAACATGTATTAGTCTTGAAATAAGTTATCACAAAAAATAATTAATTAGATAAACAATCATCTAGAAGAAAATTCTAGCATTAAGTTAAACAAGTTATTCTGATCAGAAACATGTATTAGTCTTGAAATAAGTTATCATCAATAATAATTTATTAGATAAACAGTCATCCAGAAGAAAATTCAAGCATGTAGTTAATCAGGTTTACATGTTATTCTGAAAAAATATGGCAAACAAAAATGTTCTATGGACTCTCTACACTAAAAATAAATAAGTTTGCAAGATTGATTTCAGGAATAAGGTGGCTATATTATTTCATACAACAAGCCGTTTGCCCATATCTGTCAAATTGGACTGCATAAAAAAAAATCCCATCTTCTCTTTTAAATGTATGTTGTATTCTCTTATATCAACACTTATAGGAGGCAAAAAATATCATGGAAAGACATTAGTTGATACATATCCTGAAAGAATAACGATGCACAGTGCTACATGGGTCCGACTTGAAAGGGGAATGGTGACAACATTTAATTCAATGGTCAAGAAATAACAGAAATGAAGAGGAATATACATACCCATCAGCACGACCACACTGGCCGGGGCGTGAAGAGATTGCAGCTAAAAGACGGCCACCGCCGAATTGCTCCTCAACATGTGGATCAAGCTTGCGATCCTGTTGACGCTTCTGCAGTTTCCTCTGGACATGGTTGCTTTTCTTTGTCTCTTCTACAGCACCCTCGGTCTCCTAAAACACAGTCAAGCAAAATCATGAGCAAACATCAGAGATCAAATTTTGCTAAACTATGAAGCATAACAAACATCATATGCATATAAGTGAGCTGAGCTCTCAATCTCTCCTCTTTCTTCTTAAGATGCTTATTTTTTTCTTTTGAACTAGGCTACAAATTCTCCTCACAGAATGACATTTGTAATTTAATGATGTCAATGTATGTAAACTGTGCATGCTATTGTACACATGTATTTTGGTACTTGACTAACAAACAAGATCTTCCGATATCAATAGCCAAGTCTAAGAAAAGTGACACCACCCAACATATTCTGATGACTGTATACTTCATTGGGGGACTCGATGCATCCCAGTCTTGTAAATCAACATGCATATCTACCTGGGATAAATTACATATTGGTATTTTTGTAATCAATAAGCCCAAGTAAACGGAATTTAAAAAATAGTTCAAAATTGCTCGAGAATGGGCTGATTAGGTTGAATCAGAATGAGAATGACCACGGTTGTCCAAATTTTCCATCCATGACTGCAACTCGTTTTCTCTTCAAAATTACATACGTTATAACTACAAGAAGAAAAGGATTTGCTTACATGAGAAACAAAAAGAATGTTGTTTCTTCCTATATTTTTATTTGAGATAACTACAGAAACAGTCTTGAAGTTTACAGGCACCTGTTTCAAAAATTATTATAGAGATTCTATTACATTTTTTTACCCAAACATATTCTCACTTGCTAGTTTTTAAGGCTCTTTTCAGAAAGAAAACAAAATGCATAATACCTGAACTCTTCTAAAAAAAAAAAAAAAAAAAAAGTTTCCCAAGCTATCCCCACCCAACAAACCGAGGAAGTGGGAAGATGAATTTTTCTAAAAGAATTTCTTTTTTATCATAAGGGCAATTGTGTATTAGGCAAATTTTGCATTATAAAAAGCTTTCAGAAACCATAAAAGGGGGAAGTGGTGCGATAAGATCCTGTACTGGTGGCTGATCTCTGCAGACAAACAAATCACACCAAGGCAAAGACCAAACACGAGAAGATTTTATATTCTGTATTTGGAGAAAAACTGCGAACACAGTAAAATAGATAGATGGCAGTGAACAGAGGGCCTTTTGCTATGTAAAAAAATTCAACGGCAATGAAATGAAACAAATGGGTATTCGGCTTACGAGAGGCCAATGCTCTCCTACTAGTTTCTTCTCAATCTTTTTGCATGGCTTTCTAGTCCCCTCTACTTCTATTTATAGACCTCCTCTAACTAACTAAGTCCAATCATCCCTTCCCTAACAGATTCTGTTACTTCCCAATTAGCTATTACCTCCTGCTGCAGGGTCCTAGAATATGTAAATTGTATAGGAGGCTATCATGGTGCAACTTAGGGGTGTCTTTGTAATTTTAGAACCGAAAAGAGGCTTCTTGGTGGTCATTCAACTCAGATATCTCTGCAGTTATCTTGTCCCCATTTATTTCAAAAATGGTCGAGTTTGTATATCAGTTATGCCAATATACCATCAAAGCTGCAGTACTGAAAACATGGAGCCTACTTTTATGTACCCTTCATTTTAATTGGTCTATGGTTAAGTGAAAACAATTATTTAAATTCAAAATTTATTTTCAAATTTAAAACAAGTGCTTTTAGTAAAAAGCTCTTTTGTCATTAATGGTTGTGCTGTTACTATACTGAATTTATCATTACAGATTGTGATGTTAAGTCAATCTAATATCAAGATTGTACTTATGTTACTCTATTCTAATCTGAATTATGTATCTTGATGATAAGTTTAACTGCAAAAGTGTCAACAAAATCCATCGAGCCACTACTTCATGAATCGTGTAAAGTATTTCACTTAAATATAAAGCCTATTGCACTTCTTATATTAATCTATTTGTAATATGTATTCATAATATCACACAGAAAACTTGAGTATCAACTCATACTATTCCAATATTTCGTGATTGATATTGATTACTGAAAGATGGGAGACTATACAGCAACTAATCACATATAAAAGGCAATTTTTGACCCACAAAAAGAACAACGAGTGCACTGGTAGTCAAGCATAGATGATAGAAAACCCATTAAACAATGTGAGAAGTGAATACCTCTCCTTCTTTCTTGACGGCAGCCTTCTTCTTGCGACCAATGTCAACTCCATAGTGCTGAAGATACCACTGCTTAAAAGGTGCAGCATCCACCTGAACAATTGCGCTCTTCACCAAAGTCTGGGTCCTCACCAACTCATTATTAGAAGCATTATAAACCACATCGAGAATACGAGTCTTCCGGGTCACAGCCTCACTACCCCAAGAGTAGTTCCCTGTGTCCAACCTCAAAGCACGCCATTTCACATTACCTCCTCGAACCCTCACCCTACGTACTGTCTTGTTACTTGACAACTTTGTGTTTGCTGGCTGTCTACCAAGCTCGTACCTTGGAACAGACAAGACAGGTACATCAAGAAAAAAATTCTCATGCAGCTCAATGGATGCAGCAATCAGACCATAACGAACAAACAATTATAGAAATCAAGGGTTATATTACAACTATTTCGAACATTGAACATAAGGGAGAAGCTATTTTGTTATTCGTAAACTGAACACAGAACACCAATTCATGTCACAATTTTTTGCCTTCACATATAAAGAGACACGAAAGTCAAAAAACAAAAAAACAAAAAAACAAAACTCGAGAAAAAATAGGTTTACAGAATTAGTAACGATTTAAGAAAGAATTATAGAATCGATTTACTCCAACAAGTTTTAGGTGATTTTCAATTGAAAAAAAATAAGGATTGCATCGACCAATATCAGTAACAGGGAGACTCGAATAGTTTTCGAGAAAAACAAACAAACTCAAAAGACATAAAAGGTGATGAGAGCGTATTTATTATTTTCTATGAAAATTACTTTCTCTTCTTCCTCCAAGCCTTCTTCTTTCCTCCAGTGGCACGCCTCTTGTGCATGGAATCCCGTGAAATACCTGTATATTTACACCATTCCCGTTCATTTTAACAAATAGTTCCAAATTTAAAAAATCATGGGGATATGAAGCGCATTGATTTATTTAATTACCCATGGTTGCCGGCGGTACTTTCTAGGTTTCCGAGGAATCCCCCAGCAGCAGCAGCAGCAGCAGCAGAAGCAGAAGAAAGAGAAAATGGAGGAAGTGCGACGGCGTAGAGAACTGGGTTTTTACTTTTTACCTCCTCACTCAAAACCCTAGCTGACAAAATTACACAGGTGCCCTTTCACTTTTAAGAAAACAACATCCGTGTCCGTATAAATTATAATTACGCACGTGTCTAGGCTTGGCAAATCTCCCGAATCGAATCCGAACTGAACCCGACGATTCTTGTCAAATTAAATATCCGAACGGGTATTTGAATTGAGAACCGACGGGTACGGTTCGATTCTCGGTTCTAGACGAATAACCAAATATTTCTAATTTTTTTTTATATTGAGTAAATCAAATTATTTTAATTTTAATTTTAAATTTTTCTAAACAAATTAACAAATTAACAATTTCTAAATCCAAATTTTTGGACCAGTAATTTGTTTCATTTCTAATTTTTTAATTTTTGGTCCAATTTCCCATTTTGTTGTTTTATTTCTTAGTCCAACAAGATTCAATCCACTAAATAATCATAAACACCTACACTAAAGTGCATGACGTTGTCTCAACTCTCGCACTCACTCTCGTAGCCTCGCTAACATTTCAAAACCTATACAATCGTCGGTCGACACTGTGACCTCTGAATCTCCGATCGAAACTGTGACCTCCGTCGATCGAAACTTTGACTGTAGCAATCATTTGAATAAGGTAGTCTACTAGTCTCTGATATTCTAAAATCATTGAATGTATTATTAGTTGTATTTATATAATGTTATTATAAATATTAAAAAATTTAATTATAGTACAGAACCGAACGGAACCGAACCCAAACGGTTCCATAATTATATTTAGACCCGACGATTCCATTTACTAGATACCCGAAAATTTTGGTTCGATTTGGGCCTCTTTAGAACGTATACATAAAGAGTTATATACATCTGTGTGTAAATCATTATATAACTCTTTATGTATATGTGCTTAAATTTTATTTACTTTTCATACAAATTCCATACTTACAATTAAACGTACCATAATTACAAACACGAATAATGTTTCTTGTACATAATTGAGTTACATAATGTTTTACATATAGATGTATCAAAAACAAAGTGGGAAAGTTTTTTTAACAATGCAACTTATATATAAAGAGTTACATAATGATTTACACACAGATGTGTCAAAAAAAAAGTGGAGAAATTGTTATTTGATTGAGAAAATTGTAACACAATCATATCTCATTATATCATATGTATGTAAATAATAATATACATGTAGTACAACAAATTTTTTTGTTGAAAAACTTATAATCCAATCATATTTCATTATATCATGTGTATGTAAACAATTATTTACATGTATCATAATCACTACAAACACTAGGCTAGCAAACGAAGCGAGGCGACTCAGTTCGCACTCAATGTAAGCCGTGAGATAAGTCAAGCTATAATATCTTCATTCGAATCACTCTTAACACGCACGAGTTTACTTACCCTATCAGTGCACGATGCTATCACCCCAAAATAAACGGCCAGAAAAATTGAATTCAAATGTTTTTTAATAAAAAAAAAAAAAAAAAAAAACATTTTTTTTTTTTTTTTTTTTTTTTAATTTGTTAAAAAAATTAAAATTTTTTTAAAAAAAAAAAAAAAAAAAAAAAAAAACATTTTCATTAACATCCCTAACGACACTCGAATCTTATGTTATACCACATTACCTCTTTGTGTAAAAAGAGCAACTTACGTCTATTAAAAATTATCTATAGATTTACAGAATAAATTTTTTTTTTTATATACTTAAACAATGCTTTCTATGTTAACTCCTGATTTTGATTATTTCAAGAAACATCCATCCTTATCTTTTATTTCACATTTTCTCATATGCAAATGTCCAATTAATTCAAATATAGTTTAATATTTTAAAAAGTATAGTACTATAAAAATTAAGTCTTTTGGAGATGATGAGATCTGATATTGAACATCATCATTTAATGCATTTCTTTCACAAAATTGTGCACCATGTACTCTAATTATGACTGATATTTGGATTGCACAACAGTAGAAGAGGACACTGCATAATTCAGCGTACATAATACAATTAGGACATAATAAGAGCTTTACGATTCACTATCACTTAACAAAGCAAAACATTTTGTTGCAATGCATTCAGTTGAAAATAGAAGAGCGTTAAACTGTTAATCAAGTGAATTTTTTTTTTTTTTTTTTTTAAGCAAAGATGATCTTTAAGATTGCCTCATTTTCTCAAGAGTGTGGCAAAAAGAAGCAAAAGACTCCTTCAGTTCGTGAGGAAGGGGAATTGCCAAAGGAGTAAGCACATCGAAGGGCCTTCCTTTGCTGCCCAAGGAAGCCGGCAAAGCAAGTGCAGGCTGCTGCTTGTTTAGACCTTCGATAATAAACGAGAACGCCCCAAATGTGAGACAGCTTTGAAGTAGAGCTTGTGGGGCACCTGGAAAGATAAAATAGCAAAATAAGATTAATTTTCGTACCAACAGATTTTACCTTAAGTGGACAGCCTAGATGCTGCCACGGCCCACCCTCAGATGCATATATATACATGCATGCACAAACTCACCACCATGGAAGAAATGCAAATTAACAGCAGAAGAACAGAAGCACACCATAATGGTCGACCTAATTTTGTAGTCACTTTGGAAGCCATTATTAGGCAGCATTAGGCCAGACATGAAATTTTATGGCTTCAAATTTATGAAATCAACTTTAACTAAGCTTTATGAGGACAAATTCGAGATTTGGAGGCTTCCAAATGAAGTTCGGTTCAAAATTTAAAATTGACTGAAATAAAGCAGGAAATCCAAGTAAGGGTTTGAGAGTAAATTGCATTATTTAGAACAGTAATAAATGAATGTCAAAAAATCAACCTATGAATGCTTACAGATGTCGTTTATCAGTTATACACAGACAAAAAATAACAGAATGACTTGTTAATGTCTGGGAATTAGGATGGCATCACTGAGAGTGAGAGTAGAGGTGCTTGGCCACACTAGCCAGCAAAGGGGCTTGAGGATTCTGAAATATATAGGTCATTCTCTAAATTGGGTATATGTAATTACTTAAGGGTGCATATATCACATATTTAACACTGGAGAAAGGAGGGAGAGTGAAGAGGTCAAAATACCTGGATAGCTTAAAGCAAGACCTGTGCAACATCCTGCAACTCCTGCATTGATGACTGTAGAGAAAGATAAGTCACACGCAGAATGGTCAACTCAAGAATTTATTTTCAAATGATGTCTTACCATCATCTTTCCCCCGCAACCTCTTCATAAAGCATACAACTAAACTGTGAACTCCAGACAGAACCGCAAATGTCTGGAACGCAAAGTAAGATAAAAAAATTTTAAGATGAAAGATCCGTGCCTTAAGTAATGGATGAGAAAGTTTATTGTGGACCAACAATTACAGTTCCCATACCTTAGCAGAAGATCCTGCCTCAGAAAATGATCCTTTCAAACCTTTCTTTTTAATTAATCCTGAACCTGAGACACATAACACATCATATGATATTTTAATCAACTACAGCAAACTCAGAAGGCATGAATTTTTCTGGAATAATGTCACTTGTACATAATGGAGTTATTTAATCGTTTACATATAGATGAGGTTTCAAAAAGAGATTGGAATTTTTATTTTTTTATTTTTTTAATTTGGTTAAAGAAATTCATACCCAATCATATCTCACCACATGATCCCTATGTAAATCATTATGTACATATAGCTCAACCGTTTTTCTTGAATATCCTAGTAGGCCAACTAAAAGAGGTCGGAAGACTAGTTTTTTAGTCATGAATTTTTTAATTGATAATGAAGTTTTAGCAATATAATCATAGCTCCCATAATAATCTGAATAAACAGTGTCCACATTATCTACGTAAATTAATCTCGTCTGAGTGCCAAGTTCTTATCGTGGATATTTTCACAAGCTCTACATCAGAGAAAGCCCGCAGCACAATTATGAAATTTGCATAACCTGACCTTCAGAATTCACCTTAATCATAATCCAGACTAGCGCATTCAAATTATAACTACTAGAAAATTATTTCACTGATATCTGAAATAGAGGAAAGGGTAAAGAATTTAACAGGAGATAGCAATATCAATATTGCTTGAAAATTAAACACATTAATAAGAGTAATACGTCAGGGTTCACATTGGGGTGTATGAACACCTGAATGAAGCTTATACGGTTTATATTGACTTGGATTCTCCAACCTCATTAGCTAGCTTTTGGGTCTAGCTTTCCCAATTGAGCGTGACAATGGTATCAAAGCAAGTATCATGTCTTCTAGTCTCGATTATCACTTAGAGTGTATGGGCACCTGGTTGATGTGGACGTCGAGTCGGAAGCATGGTGATTTGTCATGGTTACCACTGGGGTTCATGGGCACCTAAAACCCACATTGGAAGTGTAAGCTTCCTTTGTGTGGTTTATATTGGCTTGGTTCTCTGACCTAATTAACTAGCTTTTGGGGTCTGGCTTTCACAATTGAGCGTTAATAATACAAAGCAATTCTCCATGTGTATGAGAAGCAATTCATACAGGCATATACAATTGAACTGCTATTACATGTTTGGCAGTACTCTGGACAATATAACTAACAAAATTTTTATCTTAATTTTTCCAGAAAAATATTCCATTAGTGCCAAACGGTGAATTTTTCCTTAATTTTGCAGTCCTCGGTGAATTGTCACAATACCCCAACTTTAAACCATCACACGTACACTCTACTTAAATAGCTAAACATGGAAAGAAAAGACAAATAAAATAGTAAAACAACCAAAAATTAGGTTACCGTAGCCGAAAATGGATCCCATGAAAGCGCCGGCGGCTGAGTCACCGGCGAAACGAAGAAGGCAAACGAGTGGCGGACTGGACGGATTGGCTGTAGTGCTGGCAGTTAGTGCGTCAGAAGACAAGTTAGAAATAGGAGTTGGAAGGTTCTCGACTTCGGAGTCGGAGTCGGAGTCGGAACTCGGATTGCTCGCTGGCGTCGACATCTTTAAAAAATATAAACCCTAATTTTCGGTGAATACAAACGCTTTCAACATCTACTTCTGAAACTTTTTAGGATTTTTGTGATGAGATATTTTGTTCGCATATACCCTTACAGCACTACGTCGTCGTCTCGCATTGCACTTCTTTTTACAACGACAATATTGCACCATTAGTCCTCAACCTTTCTCAAATAAAAATAACTAGTCAGTTTCAGAGCTGTTTGGTAGTGATTTTAAAAATTGATTTTTTGATCATTAGGAGAAAAGTAAGGTCCACCTGTAAGAGAAGAAGTCAAATATGACGGCTTTGAGGCAAAAAATCGCTCCCAAACAAGCTGTCAATTGTTATGTACTATCTAAAATGAGATTTGGACTCGAATTCATTATAAATGCAACATTTATTTTCCAAAAATAAATAACATTTTATAAAAGTAAAAAGAAAGTGACAATTTTTAACTTGAAAAAGTAACTTACAGTTATTTTCAATGTTAGCCAAACATGATCTAATAAGAAGAACAAACATGAAAGCAGATATTTAGTTTTGTAAGAGACAAAGATATGTTGTCAATACAGGTATAAAAATTCTAACTCGAAAAAGTAACTTTCATTTAGTTTTACTGTTAGCAAACAAAAATCAATGCAGTTATTTACTTTTACAACGGACAGATTTTTTTTTGATACACACAATAGTGTCCATCTAACAACATAAATCAAATTGCTAAAAAATGAAATGTAAAAGATGTACAGCAGAGCTTCACAAGCAAGTACAGGAGAGAAGTGTATGAATGCAGGGACCTAAGCAGGGTCCAATGCACTTTTATGTTTTCCTCCTAGTATGATGATTATCAATTGACTCAGTAATGTTCTTGGTATATTGCTCCAAATTCGGCTCGCCAAGATTGATCATCGTCAGGGATTGGGGTTGTATCTTGGTGTATTAAATCGGAGTCCTCATGATAAAGAGGCTGTAATGCTGCTTGAGGCAATCTGCTCTCTGCAAGATACTGTTTCATCGTGCTCATCTCCATCTTGTGCTTTCTCTTCAGTTTCTCTATTTGTTTCTTTAAATTTTCATTCTCTTCCTGGATCATAGTATTCTTCTCCTGCAAAGATAGGGGGAAAAATTAAGAAATGGGATTTGACAGCCTTCTGGAGACATATGCCATTTTCCACCTCATCTAAAAGTTTAAGCTATTGTAGAAGGGATGAATTTAATTTATGTCTTCAACATCAAGAAACTTCCGTACTGGAAACAATCATAAATGAGGTAGCCTTTTCTTTCAGAATGAAAGACAGGAGAGTATATATGATCTCAGCAACCAAAGGCTGTATTTCCAAGAAAAAAGAAATGAGGATCATGGGAAAACATGACCTAAATATAGTTACCTCAGCCACTGAAGTCTCTTCCTCAGCTTCCCTCAACCTAGCAAGTAGTTCACCTGCAGCATGTACAGCTTCTGCAGTGTCTTTGATCTGAATTCTAAGACTCTGATTCTCCTTTTTCAGCAGCTTCTTCTCCCTTTCCCTTTCCATCCTCAAAGCTGAAAGCTCCCGTGCTAGTGACTTTGCAAAACGAGAACCACAACCTCTGGCTCCTGCTTTTGCAGCTGCCCTTTTCACCTCTGCTATACCTTCCATAATTGTTCGATGCTTTCCCTCCAAGTCATTGTACTTCTCCTGCAGGTCAGCATAGTGCTCGACCAGTCTGGCATGCCCAGTGATAGCTCTTTTGAGTGCATCATCCAATTCCTCTGTACAGATTTTCTCTAATCTCAACTCCATCTCCACCTTCTCTGCTCGTTGACGGTTAGATTGGATTTCAATTCTCAATTCATCAGTTAATGAAATCCAATCACTTTCCATTTCCATCCATTTTTTTCTTTCCTTTTCAATTTCTTCCTCACTATTACCTCGAGCACATGCACTACTTCTTCTCAACTGGATTGATTGCAACAACAAAGAGGATTTGAGTCTGTCAACTGATCTGTCTGTAGGTGTAACAGTATATGACTGCAATTTGCTCCTTAGAATTTCAACTTCTTTGAGAAGTGCTTCCCTCTCTTCCACATCAAAGGATTCGTTCCCCCTGCTAAGATTCAACTCTTCCTGGCCTTCTTTTATTTCACACTTCTCCTTTATAACCTCCGGCTCATGATTTCCTTGACCATCCCATGTCAGAAGCTGTGAAGGAACGAATAGATATGCACAAGAACACAGATAATAAGCATAGATGACAAAAGAACCATTACCATTCAGAAGAATAGTAAAATTCCTAACCTTATTTTCATTAATTGGTGAGTTGCATTTCTCAATTTTGTGCTCATTGGTAGAATTCTCATTTGTCTTGCAATTGCATTTCTTTAGCTGCAATAAACCGGTTTATCAGAAATGTGTATATTATAATTAAGCAGGTTTGAAAGTTTATTGAGTACAAGAATTTATTACCAATAGATTTAAATGCTCTATTTTAGCTGCTTGCTCCTTGCAAATACTGTCAAGCTCCTTCTCTCTTTTAATAGCCATAGCCAAATCTCTCTCTACATCAAGCTAAAAGAGGACAATGGAAAGAAAAGTAAATTAACTGATGGCAGCACAAACAGAAATTATGATATAATAATTGACATACCCTGGTCACTTGAGTAGATAATCTATTAAAACTCCCTGATCTGTCCACTGGAACCATCCATGAATTTATACTATCCTTGGCTTCATTAGAGGTAGAAATTTCTCTCCCCCGGCATGTCATACAGACAAAGGAAGCAAAGGGTGCATCTGAAGATTGTTCGTCATGTGGTGAGGTTTGAACAGAGGCATAGACCTTTTCAGTTGTTGGACAAGATTTGAGTGCAAAGTGTTCAAAAGAGAAGGAAGATAATGATCTAGTTGATGCAGAGTTCTCCTGGTGGTGGTCAATGATCTGTAAGCCTCTGTTCAAGCTATCAGTTAAGGATTCAGTTGGGCTTGGAAATATTCTAGAAGACCTTACAGAGGATTTAATATGATCATGTTGTTGATTCGACTGTCCGACATCCAGACTTTTGGATGTCACAACATCGTGATTCGACCGATGATTTGGTGAGAACTTCTCTCTTTTAATAGCCATAGCCAAATCTCTCTCTACATCAAGCTAAAAGAGGACAATGGAAAGAAAAGTAAATTAACTGATAGCACAAACAGAAATTATGATATAATAATTGACATACCCTGGTCACTTGAGTAGATAATCTATTAAAACTCCCTGATCTGTCCACTGGAACCATCCATGAATTTATACTATCCTTGGCTTCATTAGAGGTAGAAATTTCTCTCCCCCGGCATGTCATACAGACAAAGGAAGCAAAGGGTGCATCTGAAGATTGTTCGTCATGTGGTGAGGTTTGAACAGAGGCATAGACCTTTTCAGTTGTTGGACAAGATTTGAGTGCAAAGTGTTCAAAAGAGAAGGAAGATAATGATCTAGTTGATGCAGAGTTCTCCTGGTGGTGGTCAATGATCTGTAAGCCTCTGTTCAAGCTATCAGTTAAGGATTCAGTTGGGCTTGGAAATATTCTAGAAGACCTTACAGAGGATTTAATATGATCATGTTGTTGATTCGACTGTCCGACATCCAGACTTTTGGATGTCACAACATCGTGATTCGACCGATGATTTGGTGAGAACACTGTTCTTTTCCTTTGAGTACTTATTTTTGGAGACTCGGAGAACACAGGACCTTGGAGGACTGCACGATGAGGGCATTCACTGATTGACAAGCTACTGCTTGATGAAGGATGAATGGCCATTGACTTCTTCAGGATACTATCGACGTCACCTGCTGATATGGTGTTGTTTAAATCTGGAATTTCTGATTGAGATACTCTTGAACTAATTTCTTCACAGTCGCTTTCTTCTGAACAGCTCAAGTAATGTTCACAGGCCTGATCTGTCTCACAACCTTCTGCAGAGTATAATTGATTGCAATCTCTGTTCTCAGAATTTTCTTCATGTGATCTATGTAAATTATCAATCTGAAATCTTAGTTCTTTTACATCATCCTCGTTGACGGGTATTTCCTTTTCAGAATCATTGTCTTCGCATTGTAAGATCAGTGAACGATTCAGGCTCAGTCTTAACTGATTCACACTTTCACGAACACTTCGTCCTCTGAAGTTCCTTTGATTGCTAGTGAATGAGTTGCGTGAAATGGACTTAGCTTTTATAAGTTCTTCCTGCATTGATCCAAGACATTTTAAGTTCAAAAAATAACTTCTTAATAGAAAAATGGCTCCCGTAGGATCAAGTAAAAGTACCTTCAGCTGGCGAATCTGGTTGCTGAGATCATCAACATCATCTTCTGTTATTTCATTTATTACAGGTTCATTCTTCACGAGCTTCGCCCGCTGTCCAAATCTAAGTGTGCTTATTGTTTCATTATTGCTCCTTCATGGAAAGAAATAGGTTATTCGATTACACGAAAACGGTGTGAATTGGGGAAGAAGAAAAAGATGAAAAATGGAAGACACAAAATGAAACATGTCATTTATCAATATCCAGATGTGTAGAATTTTATTAAAACCAAAATTACATGCATCAGTTTTCTTCATTATGAACATCCGTCCCCAAGACCATATTACACATTTTTCTTGTATTAAAAAGGTTTGTATTGTCCAGTACCTGTTATCAGGAGAAATGGCACACATAATGGAGAGTTTGGCATTGCCACCAAATGATTCTCTCAACACATGAGTTAGACAAGAACTTCTATACGGAACATCTTCGGCTCTCCCAGAATTACTTCTCTGTGCAAGGATGTTTACTAAGTGCCTGCAGTAATCAGAGAGATTTTTAGTCAATGTATGTGAATTAGTATATTTCATGTGCAACCATACATCAGATTCTGAAGAATTAGATCAATACAACCATAAAAATACAATAAAAGGAATACATAAGATTATCACAAAAACGTATTGTACATTAATTTTTTTATTGTCCTTGCTATCATCATAACTACTCTCGTCTTTATTATCATTCTGCAAGTAAATTATTTCTTCACACATTGATAACTTTTTATGCCAACATTTTCTGACCGGTGACACCACCTTAGTCTTAGGGGACATTAAATGCTTATGAGGTTTCAAGGTGTTCAGCAGTCACTTGACATCTGATAACTGCGCATATGTGCTAAAATAGCTAGGAATATTGCAATCTATTAAAAAGAAAGGAAAGGAAAAAAAAAACACTAAGCATATAAGGAGAAACAAACACTAGACAACCATAATGACAATCTCATTTATGCTTCAAAGATGTTCATTGCTCATACCCGAGTTGTGACGTGGACTTCTTTACATACTTTCCTTCTTTTACAAGCTGTCTGCTAGCATCATCAAGTAAAGTTCTCTCAAAACCAGCAAGGTCTACCATGCTGATTCTACTAGTCTTGGAACTCCCAAAGCATTTTGATGAGGATTCCTGGGCATTGTATTGAAAGAAAGTAAATATTTGTAGCAAAAGTCAAACTGGATATTAAAAAAAGTATGAAATGCTTGCATAAAGAATGATTTTTAATTTAAGGTTGACTCGTTCATGACTACCAGCTTTCAGCATAAAACAACTATGATTTTATTCAGGCTCATAAACCAAAGTGGAGAGCTACGAAGTGAATTTTCTCTAAGTAACAACAAAAATTTAGTTCCAAAAGAAGATTATGTTAAGACAATTTCTAAAATTACTTGAAACTATTGTACTTTGCCAATGTTACCTTACACCAGGTCTCAATTATGAACGTGAATACAGTATGTGATCTTGAACTCTTGGAATTTATGCTTGTAGCACCAACCTTTCTACTCGAAAGCCCCTGCAGTATAAAACCAACTCTAACTTTAAGTGGTAAAGAAAACTGCCATAAACATCCAGGCCAATGACATTTAATATGCTAGCAAGTCGACCAAATGAAGTACAAAATTCTGACAGTCTTCATGTTTGCTACCTTAATTAAGATTTGGATGACATCCTCGTAACTGGTTACGTACTCCTCAGTCAAGTTCTCTATATAAAACCCATTTCTGGCATCATCTTTTATCTGTAAAATTTGAACCTTCTAGTTATATCATAATGTGTACATAAAAAATGCCTTAACATATTGACAATATAATTAGAGATTCTTTTACTGTCTCTTTTGAAAAAAAAGAGATAAATTGCACCTCTAGATTTCGCTGCGTCGGGTCCAGTAGATCTCCAATTTTCTCATTATATATCTGCAGTAGCAAATCATACATAATGCAGTCAATGCAATGATATAACACACTTTTCATTAACGCTTATTAGGAGAATGAAAATAATTACCTCAAGAAACGAGCACCGGCATTGATAATTTATCTGTTTGCCTTCATAATTCTCTTGCTCCTGAGTCATTAAAAAATAAATAAAAAAATCAAACAACAATCAGTCCCAACTCCCACATCACCAGATCCCATTTTTCTTAGTCAACTGAGAGATATAACTTACCTTTTGAATCTCAGAGAACAGACTTTGAAAAATGCGTGGTGCAATACCCTGAAGTCCACTATCTGATGGACCCTCAACCATAGCACTGGGGGGACCCCACATTGTGTAAGACTTTCCACTGCCAGTCTAGTAAAACACAAGCCAAATCGCATCAAGATAAACAGATTGACACAGCATAAATGGATTGCAAGTCAGCCAAAGCTACCTGCCCATAAGCCAAGAGCGATATATTGTAGCCAGCCAATGCATCCTTCACCACTGGGGCACCAACTGATTGATATACTTCCTCCTAAAAATTACAGATCCACAACTTCATAAATCAAACTAGATGTTTATATTTTTTTAAAATTAATTCAATAGAAACAACCTGAAATCTCGATTTCCACATTCATTCAAAATTATTTGTTGGTAAACTTAGAAATTGAATACTGGAGAGAAAAAAATAAAAGGTTTGGAAATGATTCTAAAACCTGAGTTGAATTCGAGTCGAAAACCGCGTCGAAGGTGAACTTTCTGGCACCAACAGATACTGAATCGTTAGAAACTTTTCTAACTGTCTGAAATCCACCTCCACTGTAATTAGTGGGTCTTAATCTCGCCACAACCTATCCACAAGCCCAAAAAATCAAACACGTTTAAATTATAGCCTAAACAGTTAACCATAAAATTAAAATTCAACATTTTCACTATTTAGGTACCAAACCTAATTGGAGTATAGAATTCAGGAAAAATCCCATCGAAATAATCAGATGAGAAAAATAACGTGATTTAACCTAAAAATATAATCAATTCGAGATTCAACCAATTTCACTGTCTAGGATTCATAAAATGGAAAAAGTAAGAGTCAAGTTCAAGTACCTTGACAGTTGTATCTGGGGCCTTGGGTGCTTTATCTTCCAACACGGAGGTGGTATCTTCTACTTTATGGGAATTTACTAAGGGTTTTCTAGGTGAATTTTTGGGTAATGAAATTGAACCTGACAGTGGAGGATCGCTGATCTGAATGTTTGGATCCGGAGGTGCAATGTTTTCACTGTTCGATTTGGACTTCGCACGGCGTGTCAAATTCATGTTTTGCTTCGATTTAGGAAATAAATTCTTGAATGGTGAGACGGAGGCAGATATGCTTCCCAAGTATCTGTTCTCTGAGATTTCAGCATTGGACTTCAACATGATTCGATAATTCAATTTTCTATAGAAATTCTGAGTAAATTTTTTTTTGAAGATTACAATTTACAAACAGTTGGTTATCTGTGTGTTTGTGTGTGAGAGAGAGTATAGAGACAGCGAGATGATTTGGTTCAAATGCTGATTGAATAGAGCCGTTAGAAGAGATGACCGTTGAGCAACGCGGAGCGTTTAAAAACTTGAAGTGTGGACCTCATTGTGAATGACAGTAGGGGTCGGTTCTACCAAAATAATCACTGAACGTCCAATTTTTTAGCTATATCATAATCGCACCATAAATACGTAAGTTGGTTCAATTCGACTCGATTAGAGCGATTAATAACCACGAAAATAAATTATTTTTCATAAGTCTAGCCGTCAAATTGAAAAACAAAAAGTAAATGAAAACAAAAACACAATACTAAGCCAATTTAACAAATAATATCCCAAATGAAAATGCAAACAATATTCCAATTCCCAAATGCAATTTCCATATATGTTTAATATTTGTGTAGTAGGGTGTAGGGTTACTAGGCCCCTTTTTGTTTCATGTTCTTTCCCTAATGAAATGAAAAATATTTGAATTTCTATCTTTTATATGGGATCCGTAACTACTATATTTTTCATTCTCATTCTTACATAAATGGAAAACAAATGAGGCCTAGGTTAGGTTAGTTGGACTTAGCGGGTTAGTAATGAGCCAAAATTTTGGGTTGGACAAAATCATAAAAAGAATAGTGGAAAGTTCAATTATCCAATTAATTTTTTTTAACGGGTAATTGGTTCGGGGCAATCGTCGGCGTAAATACCATGCCCGTCCCGCCTCGCCTCGAACCAGGACATTAAAATCAAATACCATATCCACCTCATTGTGCCATCTGTTTGGGTTTTTTTCTCGCCCTATTCAATTCGATTAATCGTGGTTTTCGATTTTGACAGTTCGAATTGTCATTCCTCATGGGATCACAACATTTCAATCACATATATCTTCAATTTTTATCAAAATATACTAAAACTCTAATTTTACTCCCCATCAGATAATAAATATACATTTACATCACATTGTTTTATAAGTGCACTAAAGTTTAATTGCATAAAAAGTCCATAACATTTATTTATTGTTATATTTATGTTTCAAATATTCTCCCATTGCATTTTTATCAGAAAAATTTTCATTAATTATTACTTCTTGTCCCTAACGTGATGTCCGTCAAAAAAATTGTTAAGCGGGCTACATCATAACTTATTTGTCCCTCGTTTTTTTTTTTTTTAAATATGCATAAAAAAAATCTAAAATTACATCTAAATATTTATCCCTTATTTTAAAAGCACGCTCACATAATTTTTGGATAAAAACCATCATTAGGGACAACATGTATAAGAAGTTGAAACTAAGAAATGCAATGGAAAGAGTTAAGCACATAATTGTGATAATAAATAAATGTTATGGACCTTTAAGATAATTAAAATGTGGTACGTATATAAAATAATTTGGTATCAATAAAATCAAATAGGAAATATTACGATAATTACCCTATTTCGTTAGGAAATTCCAAACTTCTCTCTCCCCTCTTTCATTTTTTTTTTTCGTTGTAAATACAAAATACTGTTTTACTTGTCAAATCAAAATTTATCCAAACCAAATTTTGACTCGCCCTAGAAACATGTCCTCCTCCACCAACATAGCCGCACCCACCACGCTTTTCGCCACCATCAATCACAATCACATCATTGACCACCATCCTCTTCCAAATTCAAAATCGGACATGTTTGCCATCAACAATCGTACCCATCGTTGTGTGTTGATAATAGCACAAATTGTTAAGCTTTCATCCATTAATTTTTGCTCTTTTATAATATCAATGTCTAAATGTTCTAAATACCTTTATATTTTGATTTAGGATGCAAATGGATGAATATGGTGGAATTTGGTAGAAAGAGCGAAAAGGGATCAAAATGGAAGCAAGTGAAAGTTCAAGGACCAAGTTGCAAATAAATCAAAGATGTGACGGGCGATGGAATGATGATTCCAGAAAACTATGAGTCAATTGGAAGTCAAAAGAAGCAAAGTATGACAATAACATTTTCACAAATTGATTTTCAACGACATAAGAATACTCTAGATTTTCAACTGAAGATTGAGATCCATTTTTGACCCAGTTAACGGCCGAATTGGGAAAGAGCTATTTCTAAAAAAATTGTAACTCTTTTTGTTAGCTTTACAATGAACTTTGAATCGCCTCAATCGAACATCAAAAGAGAATGTTATGGCTAAAATACCGAAAGCTATCCGACGAGAAAATAGTTGAACTATGCGGTTGCATAATAAAAAAATCATGCGGTTGCATACAAGGCTCTAGAGAAGTTCAGGGCTGAAAAATAGTTGTACTATGCGACTGCATGACTTTCTTCTATGTGGTCGCATAGTTCATTCTCGAGATGCAAATTCTAGTTTCATAGTTTGAGTCAAATACATATGGAAACAAATATTGTACACAATATATAAGTCCAAGAACTCGTCCAAAATAGGGAGAACGTCCCTATACACTTTTCTCTCATCTTTGGCACAAGAAACTCCATGGAAAACTAACAATCTTGGTGAAGCCACGAAGGAACTCAATCGATTTTGGTGATTTCAACATCCTTTAATTCATGAAGTCTAGTATTTTCATTGTTAAACAATTCTAGAATTTAAATTCCCATATCTTGAATGTGATTTGACATTGGTTTAATATTTATTAGATTTTTCATAGATTCAATCATGCTTTTTTATCAAACAATTGAAATATTTGTTGAATTTCAATTTCAATTAATTAATGTTATTGATGTGATTCTCTACTATCTTCTGCTTGATGTATATGGTCGCTTTTGAATCTAATTTCAATAATTAAATGTGGGAATGTGTTTTAGAAACTTTAATCTTTAGAATTACTATTGAAATGAATTGGTGCTTAAATTTATATTTTTCAATTAGAGAGTTAAGTTTAACATCTTTAATTGAGTTATAAGCATGAATTGATAATGTTGAATGATCCAAACCAATTTAGAGGATTCCGGCGTTTTACTAGTTCAACCATTGATATTTATATTTCATTCTTATCAATAAATAAATCCCACTACACATTTCGAGAGACCATCCACCTTTTAGATTCTTTGAGTGATTTTTCATCTTTCTGCGGAATCGACACCTCAAAGCTGTACTATCACTACCGCGTTATTTTTTGGGCGTAATCATGCGCCATCAATGTAACCTCATCCAAACTTCTTCTTACCTGAAACTACTACCTTAGGTTGAAGATTCATTCATGTACGAGTATAAATCATTTATATTATTTATCTTTTTCACCAATGTCACCACGCCACCTCCACCATCGTCGTAATTTATTTGTATTATTTTTGTTTTTGTATTCGTGATTTGGAGGTAGTCATGGGAGGTAGGGGACTATGTAGCATATTGATGGTGGTACAGATGGAGGTGATAGGTGGGGGTGGTATGTGAAAGCCGAAGAATAACTAACCAAGAGGGGGGTGAATTGGTTATTTGAAACTTTTTCTAAAATAAACGCAAGTTTAAGCAAATAACTATGAATAAAAAAGACAACACAAAAATAATAAGAGGAAGGGAAGGAGGAGTGCAAACGATGTAATAAGGAGGTTCGATCCAATCACGATCTACGTCTCCCGTTACCAAGCTCTCCGTCACAAGCAATGCCTTTTTCACTATCTTTGATTGACTTATAGTGCAATCCAACTCTTGCAATGCTTTCGGTGACTTGTAACTAAGGAGCACCGATCCTTTTACACGTTGATCTTTTCGGGACCTCAACTCGACCCACAAGAAAATCAAAGTTACAATTGAAAGATTTCTCTCTTAACAAATGGTATGAACACAATTAAATATTAAGAGAGAATTAGGTATAAGCACTTCAATAAATCACAAAGAATATAGCTCAAGTGTTGTGTGAAAAACTTTTATTGAAATATATGATTTTTTAAAAAGTTACCCACTCAAAAAGTTTTTCAACAAATAAATATTTTGATCTCTTAAAGATTAAAAAATAAGGTAGACGAGATTAATAAATAACTCTCTTTAATGTTGTAAAAAGTTTGCTATGAAAGAGGTATAAAGAGAGGTATTTATTGCCATCAATGAGGAGATCCGGACAAGTGATTCGGACGTTCGCTTGTTATCCGGACGATTAACTAGCCGTTTGCCAAACGGTTAAAAAATGTGACTGTTGGACATCTCATCCGGGTCCAGATGGGCCTTATATTTTCCCATCAAATTTTCCTTTTTCGTGAAAAAAAGTCATTTATGGTATTTGAACGGTTTTATTATATACTTCATATAAATAAGTAATTTCATAAAAAGTTTAATTGTGAAAATCAAATTAATTATCTTTTAAAAATGATTTTTATGCAAGTAAAGTTTGTCATGAGAATTCCCGTGCATAAAAATTGTTTGAGATATAATCGATGCGAAATATTAAAGTGTTTTACCTTTACACTTGAATATACAAATGCATCTATAGCTAATGTCTTCAGTTTCTTCCATCAATGCAGTTTGGTGCGTGAAGGCTCGTTTTCCATTTCCTTATTCGTAAATCTTGTGTGTATATCGTTTTGCGCGAAGGTTGCATGATTCCCGATCTTTCGTGTCATAAATTTGCAATAATCACTATCAATCACTTAAATTCAATTTGTTAGAATCAAACGCAATTTGTTTGTAATAATCAAAACAAGAAGTCAACTGTAGAACCCCAAATTATTTTAAACACCTTAGTGGCACTAAAACATGAATATTGGATGGCTAAAGTATAATTTAGATTTTTAGTCTCATTTAAAACCCATTTACGACATAGAAAACATTCGATTTGGAAAATGATATCTAAAAAAAAGTTGTAGCTCTTTGAGTTAGCTTTCCAACGCACTTTGAATTACCTCAATCGGATATCGGGAGAAGAAGTTATGATAGAAATACTAAAGGCTGTACAGTATCAACCGAAGTACGCGGAATATGAAAAGTCAAATTCCTACACGATTTTCTAACACCTTCTTAAACCTATAACTCCCACATAAATGGCACCCGTATTAATGAGTATTAGACCCATCACTTGCTCTTAAGTTGTGAAATTTTCACTTATAAATAGGCCCCAATGCATACACATTTTTCACACCAAAACAAAAGTTTCTAAGCATAA